TGTAACTCAAAAAAACCTCAGCTTTACTGCTGGCAGGAAAACAAACATGAAGTGAGGACGGAACACTGAGACCAAGGACACACAGGCATAAACTGATGGTACGACGCAACACTGAGCATGGGAAAACACAGGGCTTATATACACAGGGTAGTAACGGGGGAATCGGCAACAGGAGGGAGACACAGCTGGGAGAGATCAGGGCTAACGAGACAGGGGGAACAAAGCTGCACATACTAACATCAGACAGGAACAAGAACCTTCAAAGTAAAACAGGAAACAAAACACACTTTACTAAGACACAGACTAGACAGAGACAGATTTGACACTGACCAAAGGCTACTAAATGATAATCATAATCACAACAGTATCAGATCATAAATCATAATATAGAAAAACACCAAGATAACTGAAACACCAAGTACCAGAGAAACATAAAGGAAAATCCATGATGCAAAAGTACCAAAACATAATGAACTCAAAATACTGGGTCCAACGGACCCAGAACCGTGACAGTTTCAGAGTTTAATTAAAACGCAAGGGAACACTGCAAAGGCTGCAAAAGCAAGGAGAGAGGGCTGGCAGAGAGTTGCTGACAAATTAAACTAGTAAGTAATTTAATAATAATAATAATAATAATAATAATAATAATAATAATAATGATGGATTGGATTTATATAGCGCTTTTCAAGGCACCCAAAGCGCTTTACAATGCCACTATTCATTCACTCTCACATTCACACACTGGTGGAGGCAGCTACAGGTGTAGCCACAGCTGCCCTGGGGCAGACTGACAGAAGCCAGGCTGCCATATCGCACCATCAGCCCCTCTGGCCAACACCAGTAGGTGGTAGGGTAGATTTATTATATTATATTACATTATATCCTCTTTCACATTAGAGCCACAACAGGACCCACTAGAACATGGGAACAAGTAAAAGTGAAATATAAGAATATTCTACAGAATGGTAATATTTATCACTTATATTGCTTTTAGTCTCTTGAAAATAGACCCTGAAATAATCTGTTTGTTTATAACAGCAACCAAGAAAAGGGCAGAGCACAAAAAGACAGGTGGTGGTCCTGCACCCCCTCGTCAACAAGTTGGTTAAGTGAATAATACCCTCACGGGAAAGTCGATATCTCTCTATGAGCACACTGTCGCGCTGAGCTAAAGGATCCTGTCTGTCCTGCAATATATGCTGAATTCTGAGGACTCTCCTTATCAATCTTGCACCTTCCGCAATGGGTGGCTCGCGTATACGGACAGGACATGGCTGCGACAGACTTCCCAAATCCACCTTCGCTTTTATAGCCGTGGTCTCTCATCTTGATTACACGAAGTAATTTACAATTACTACTCTGAACTGTGAATTACATCTGAAATAATCAAATACATGAAATAGAATGATTAATATGGTAAATGGCCTGTATTTATAGCACTTTACTAGTCCCTAAGGACCCCAAAGCGCTTTACATATCCAGTCATTCACACAGACATTCACACACTGGTGATGGCAGCTACATCAGAATCAGAAAGGGTTTTATTGCCAAATGTTGAGCAGGTTTACAACATTAGGAAATTGCTGCGGCGCTTCAGTGCAAACATGCTGTCATAAATTGCGCTTAAATAGACATGAAAAAATAAAAGTGCTACGTAGAAAGATATATGCATGAGATATACATGAGATATATACATGAGAATAAGAATTAAAAGTGCTACGTAGAAAGATATATACATGAGGTGGTGATCAGTGCCAAAACATGGAATCATGCAGTGAACACAGCGTAGGGTCATGAGTTAGTGGCGGGGACAGTCGTACGTTTATTGTTCATGTGTCCGACAGCAGAGGGGAAGAAACTGTTCTTATGGCGAGAGGTTCTGGTGCGAATAGACCGGAGTCCACATTGTAGCCACAGCCACCCTGGGGCGCACTGACAGAGGCAAGGCTGCCGGACACTGGCGCCACCGGGCCCTCTGATCACCACCAGTAGGCAACAGGTGAAGTGTCTTGCCCAAGGACACAACGACCGAGACTGTCCAAGCCGGGGCTCGAACCGGCAACCTTCTGATTACAAGGCGAACTCCCAACTCTTGAGCCACGATCGCCCAATAGTACATTTCCCTTTTTTTAGGAAATGACCTGTATGTATCTGTATGAAATCAATAAAAGGATCAAGTACTGCATTATCTTTAGTTACATTGATAATATGTATTTATGGTGAAACAGTGGTGGAATATCGCTGTTGCTTTCGTATAAATGAAGCGGACATACCTGCGTGGCTGCAATCTAATCCTGTTTACATAAAGTAAACCTGCTCCCGAGCAGGTTTACGCTTACGGATCTGTTGCTATGACAGCAAGTCCCGTATGAGCTTCGGGGAACCGAACGATCCAGGATCACGCGAAATCGTCAACAATCATATCCAGCTAACTTACTTGGCGAGGTACGAAGAACGGGCCCCAGACTGAACGAGTTAACGAAGGTTTAAAAAAAAAAAAGGGTCAAACCCATTACTAGAAAAATTTAACTAATAAAGTGTCTGTTGGGCATTGATCAAGCAAAATTGAAAAAAATAGGGTTTGTTTTTTTTTTGTTATTTGGCCATCATATTACAACACTTTTTGCCAAATGCATAAATAAAAACAGCCTTACATAAGTCTCTTAATTCAGGTAATATAGGACTTTCATAGAATTCCTAATGTACTCAGCACTTGATGACATCAGGAAGGAAAACTGCTGTCTCAAGAGGGCACACAACATCCTGCAGGACGGCACACAACATCCTACAGGACGGCACACAACATCCTGCAGGACGGCACACAACATCCTGCAGGACGGCACACAACATCCTACAGGACGGCACACACCCAGGACACCGGGCGTTTAAGCTGCCTCCGTCTGGCAGGAGATTCAGACTGCTGAGGTTGCGCACAGACTCAAGGACAGCTTTTACAACAGGGCAATAGCCCTAATCAATGCTAACAGCTGACCTCCCTGGGCTTTTTTTCTTTTCTTTAATTTTTTTTTTAATGATAACAATGTGCAATAAACATACACTCATTCTTTTTATCTATTGAGTTACTGTGTTGTGCTGATGCAGGACAGTTTCCAATTTTGTTGTACTATTGTACTAGGTATGACTGTGCAATGACAATAAAGTTATTTTATTTTGTCTTATCTACCAAAGTGCACCAAAATACACTCTTGAAGGCACAGTACTTGTACAAACCAGACTAACTGAAGTTATCTTCAGAGGGTATGTTTGTTTATTTTGGGCAAGATAATCTAATGATGATGTAGGAAGTTTACCCTATGATTTCTGCCTATATCAGTGATTTATGTATTCAATGATCACGTCAGGCTCAGGTCACGTCTCTCTAGAAATGTGTCTTGTTTTGACTTCATCTTTCCTGCTGTTTTCATCTGCAACTCAGAGATACCTCTATAGCATGATGCTGTCTTTTAATTCAATGAGAAACTGTAAAGAGTGTTATTAAAAAGGAATGACTCTGAATACCTTTTCAATCCACTGCAAATGTAGTTGTGCAGCAACAAAGGCAGAAAAGTGTGATCAGTCAATAACATGATCAATATAAGGTTACAATTCTTAAAACTGTCAGTTTTGCAAATGTCTGAGAAAGGAAATGCACTTGCTGAGTCTTCAAAGAGAGACTTTGCAACCCATTACATGCACAATATCTTTCAAGTTGTGGTCCAAGTTATGCATAAAAAAATGTATTTTACTGTGGAAACCACTCGATGCCTGTTGGTAAACATAAAATACCACTTAAATTCAGGTAAAGCTATCCATTTCAACTTGCAGCCTAAAATACAGGTGCTGGTCATAAAATTAGAATATCATCAAAAAGTTAGTTTATTTTACCAATTCCATTCAAAAAGTGAAAGTTGTATAATGTGTACATTCAGTCCACACAGACTGATATGTTTCAAGTGTTTATTTCTTTCAACTTTGATGATTATAACTGACAACTAATGAAAACCACAAACTGCAAATTCAGTATCTCAGAAAATTAGAATATTATTTAAGACCAATACATCCTGGCCAACTGTCAAGTATGAACATGAAAAGCATGAGCATGTACAGCACTCAGTAATTAGTTGGGCTCCTTTTGCCTTAATTACTGCAGCAATGCAGCGTGGCATGGATCTGATCAGTCTGTGGCGCTGCTCAATTGTCATGTGAGCCCAGGTTGCCCACGCCTTGCATACGTCTGTGCGTAGTGGTTCTTGAAGCACTGACCCCAGCTGCTGCCCACTCTTTGTGAATCTCCCCCACATTTTTGAATGGGTTTTTTTCACAATCCTCTCCAGGGTGCTGTTATCCCTATTGCTTGCACACTTTTTTCTACCAAATCTTTTCTTTCCCTTCACGTCTCTGTTAATGTGCTTGGACACAGAGCTCTGTGAACAGCCAGCCAATTTTGCAACGACCTTTTGTGTCTTGCCATCTGTGTGCAAGGTGTCAATTGCCTTCTTTTGGACTACAGTCAGGACAGCAGTCTTCCCCATGATTGTGTAGGCTATAGAACTAGAATGAGAGACAATTTAAAGGCCTTTGCAAGTGTTTTGAGTTAATTAGCTGATTCAATATTGAACCTTTTCACAATATTCTAATTTTCTGAGATACTGAATTTGCAGTTTTCATTAGTTGTCAGTTATAATCATCAAAATACAAAGAAATAAACACTTGTGCGGACCGAATGTACACATTATACAACTTTCCCTTTTTGAATGGAATTGGTGACATACATCAACTTTTTGATGATATTCTAATTCTATGACCAGCACCTGTAGAAAGCTGGTGTTTCAAAATCAGCATTTTTCCTAAAAGACAAACATGCAAAATTTAAATATGAAAATAATACTGACGTCATTGCAGATGACTTGATTTGTAAATGTAACATTTTGGGAAACAGAATTCCACCATGCAAGACAAAGGAAAAATCTTAGCTGCACTGTTTCAACGCCAAATCCTGCATTTTATTTTGTAATAAGTAAAAAAAAAGATTCACAGTATCTCTCCCAGAACACTTAACTGCAAGTTTTTTAATTTTAAGAAAGCATTTCTGCAATAGAAATCAAACACACTGATTCCAAACGTTTCATGTATTTGCACAAAAGAAACATGAGTCACAACAAACAGATCACAATACTTTCCAAACTTTAAATACATTTAGAGATCATTGTTTAAATAAATTCTCCAAAAAATATCTCTTGTTCATGTCACATATTTACACTGATCTTAGCTTCTAGTGATTGTATATCCATGTTACTAATTCAGGACTTTATTATTCTTGCTTCCATGAAAACTTTTCCCCATTAACATGTGAAAGATTGACCTCATGCTTAAATAAGCAGCCTCACGGCTCTTTTTAAATTAGGCAATTTCAATTTTACATATTGGTGTCAATACGTAACAAAGAAAACTGGATGCTGTCACAGTAACAAATTATGACTTTGTAGGTCTCTTGTGAGTTTTATCACAAAGACAGCATTTGTCTTATAAATCCTGCTTCTAATTTACACTGATTGAGACGCTGGTCTGTGCATATTTACTTTGCCCGATGTAGAACAGAGATCATCCTTTCTCAGTGCTCGTGTGCAATGAGTGGGGCAGGATAGTTTTGTATTTGCTGAATAAAATACAGACAACACAAAGACATGACAACAGCAGAGAACTCAACTTGAAAAGGTGGTTACACTGCCAATTCTGACAAACCATCAAATATCTTAATGTAACCTTGTTCTACCAGACACACGATGTCTGAATCTAGCCATGATTAACAGTTATGTAATTGTGACTTATGCTGGAATGACAGGATGTTGTCACTAGAACAGATTGATCAAACCAGTAATGCTATGAATGTCACATTTGAAACACGCTCAATAACTACATATGGCACAGAAACTGAGAGCCCACCTTTTAAGTGACAGAGTTTCAAGCGTTAACCTCGGTTGCAAAAGTCTATACTGGGTATATTGTTGTGTCATAATAAAGTCAAAATATGTCTGCATAGTCTATTGTTGTCCATGACAAAAAAGCAATGCTGCACTAAATGTAATAAAAACATATTCTTGCTGCTTTTGTCACAGCATCCAGTAGAAGCTTGAAACCTTTCAATTTATTTTAAAATGAACCTCAATCTGGTTGGACAAGCAAACAAAAAACTAGCTGGTATGAAAGTTTGTTTAATTGTTTGGAATAATTTACAACTTGTTTTCATGTTTGTATAGTAGTATTCTACTGTTAGCTATAACACAGAATCTGTATTTCCTGCCCACCTAAAGCTCCATATCTTTTCTTACTCCTTTCAAACACACCTTTCATCAATGTGAGGAATACAGCTGAGACAGGCCTGTTGTAAGGAGTGATTCAGAAATGTAAATGCAGTGCCTTTTGGATTCAGGCTCAATATTGTGCAGTAAAACAAATCAGGGAGCGCACTGGAGAATTTGTTGTTTGCTTCTTTAACAATTATAATTAGCATTCATAGCATTTTTGAAATCATTATTATCATTTTGAAATCATAATCATGATCATTGAAGCACTTTGTTTTAAACAAGGTTTAATGAGAAACAAAATGACAATCAATACACTTTGAGTATACCCATGGAGAATAGCATCATGCACATTTACAAAAAGAAAATGAAGAGTAAAAATCCTAAGTGCAGCAAGAATGTTTTCTGCAGTCAAACGAGGTTTCTCTTTTCTACAAAACCACAAAAAACAAACAAACTTGAGGTGTATCCATTTCCATTCTTGGGCAACTTTTCTTATTGTAAAAAGTTTGAATAAAAGTGGGGAAAATGTTTTAATGCACTGAGAACTAGGTGAAGAAAAAGCCCTGTGAACAAGTTCACAATTGGTTTCTGTACCTTTCCTTTCAGATGAGGATGATTGCATAGTCTCTTAAGAGATTTGTCATCTCTCCTATTCTTGTGTTATTGCTTCACACAGTGTCAAACTTGTGTTTTAAATAGTCTTTCATAACCTTTGCAAGTGGTAGATCCTCCAAGAATTTCAAGCTTTGAAGGCCAATACAGTGACGGATTTTTATTCGACACAAATCTTGTAGAGTCCGAGGTTGTCCTGAAAGAAGAATAGAAACAATGACTACACATGACTATCATTGACTCCCAGTAACATGACAGAAACAGAGCAAGAAATATCAACTCTGAGCAAAATTATTAGCAAGAGTAGATGTCTCGTTATTTAACAATTAATAGTGACAGTGCTCACATGCCCCCATTAGTGCAACACTTCGAGTTTTAATTCTACTTTATCTCACAGCAGTGTTTGCATCCTACTGCATTCCAAGCATAAAATAAAAACAATAAAATTGAGAGGAAAGTTAGATAATCAATCAGGGTGAAGGTGCACATAACATAATATTAATAATATTATCAAATTTTCTTTTTCTGGAAATCAATACACTCTGCAAAAGAAAAAAAAACCCCTCACACACGGTCAAAACAGCCGACTGAGTCAAACAAAGGGTTAGAATAGGGAAGAAAGGTCATTCAAATAACTGGATATGGCATGGTTGTTCATCTGCCACACAACCATCTCTCAGGTTTACAGAGAATGGCCTAAAAAAGAGAAGCTAGCAGTTCTCGGTGTGAAAATACCTTGTTGGTGTTGGATAGGGCTGTGCGATATGACCAAAACCTCATGTCCCGATATAAGACATCTATCGTCCGATAACGATATAAATCACAAACATTTAACATTTGCTGTAAATTCTGAATCTCGGGCAGCTCGTCTTGCATGAAGTGTTTCCAGCTGCGCGTCGTGTAGCTGGAGTCGAGTGTTTTAACCGATGCATGAAACGACACATTTTTAGACAGAAGTTGTAACGGCGCCGTTTTCTTTGTGAGTATTTATTACACGGCGTGCTGCGGGGGAAAGCCTGCTCTAACGTTTGAGTCTAAGGTTTATTTTTTTAGCACCTGACGGCTCTTTTTTGCTTCTCATTTGTAAACTCTGCATACTCATTCACATGATTCAGTTTATTTTGAAAAGTCTCAACGGGCTCTTAAGCTTTATTGTGAAAGGTTTATGTGGAAAACAAACCAGCGGACAGTGGAGCCACGTGATGGTTTTTACCATAATTGTTGCTAACGACAGCATGTAAAAACATGTCTGTCAGTAGTGTGGTTTTATTAAATATAAGAGAAAGAGAGAACTTTAAGGAATGAATACAGCCACTACAGTGACATAAGAACCATGAAAAAATATTGCCGTAAACAGTTTATTTTGCGACACCACGAAACAAACGATAGCTTAAAATGAAACGACAGACATTTTTATATCGTTATATCGAACAGCCCTAGTGTTGGATGTTTTCAAATATTAAATAACCTCAAATTGGTTCTTTCACCAAGTCCAACAGCCCTCTGTGGTGTGGTGGAATAGAAGGATTTGCAGAGGACAAGTCTGCAGAAACTGTGTAATGCTATTGTGTCAGTATGGTGAAACAATGACTGAGGAATGTTTTGGGAACCTTGCTGAATCTAAAGGCAGTTCTGAAAAAAAAAAAAAAAAAAAAACGTGGTCCAGACTTGACAATTACTGATTCCTGATCATGCTTCGGTAAGAAACTTAGCTATGTTTGTGGTATGATGTGCATGTAGCGTGCTGTTATGTTGTAAATTGTCTGGATACGCTTGGGAAGAAAAACATTTTTAATTGCATAAAATGGCACTGATCACATCAGCTGATGGGGAAACATTGTTGGTTTTCCTGGAAAATTACCATAAAATTATGCACTACCCACTTAAAATTCATGAAACTGTTCTGAATATCACTTATTTGTTACTTAAAATTATTTAAGTACAATTTGTGTCTCCTTTCCTGTAACCCCCACTAGAGCTGGGCGATATGAGATTTTTTCATATCACGATATGTTTTTTTCATTTCAGGCGATAACGATATCTATCACGATATAAGCCAAATAACTATATTTGCAAGATTTAAATGTGCCGTTGCTCACAAGTAAAATGTGAAATAATCAGCAGCTTGTTTTTATTTAAGTATTTATTTCCCATAATAAGTTCAACAGGGTAGATGTACTTAAGGAACATGAGACTTTTTCAGATAAATAAAGGCAAATATTGCAAACTACACAAAAGGCAGCCGCTAAAGCGTTTAAGTTTCAAAATAGAACAAACGAAACAGACTAAACTGTCAATTCCACTTAGAAACAAAATATTAATTCTAAAAATAAATCTTAGTTTGTTTTACAGAAGAACAGACAAAACTGACTAACTTTTGTCAGTATCAAATAAACTGAGAACTAAAAGGAAATTCTCAATCTCTCCTTGTTGTATAGCTGAGCTTTTCAAACAGTTTTAACAGTTACTTTAGTCTGACAAAAGCCGAATGACGAATTAGCGCTTCCAGTCAGAGACTGAGGCTACGTCCACACGTACACGGGTATTTTTGAAAACGGAGATTTTCCGTTTACGTTTTAAAAAATAATCCCGTCCACACATAAAGGCAGAAATAAAGGAAAACGCTGCTATGAACATGCCAAAGCAGCAGGTGGCGCTAGATTCCTAACCGTGCAGAAATGTTGGCCAATCAGAAGTCTAGAAGCCTCGGTGGGAAAAAGTAAACAAAGCTGGGGCATAGAAGCAGAACCGAGTCGTATGTGTGGAGGGACAGTAACTGTGTGTATATGTAAGCATTTAAACACTGCAGAGAGTAGAATTAACAGTATTGTAGAAATTCATTTCACCGAAACAATAACGTGGCGCACAGTGTGACGCATGCACCAGTTTATTGTATTTCCAGACTTGCTTTCGGCACAATTTACAGTGCAGCTACTCTGTTTTTTGTCAGACTTGAAATAGCCGAAATACCTTCACACTACGGAGCTTCTCTGGCTCTTCCGTTCGACAATCTCTCCGGCGTTGGAACCATCATCTGTTTTCTCTTCGGTCACACTCATTTCCTCCATTACCCGCTGGCTGCTTCCCAAACAAACACACGTGTGGCTTGGCACTTGTGCTGTACGTTACAAGTCACGCGACGTGACGCTGCGGCTGTGATTGGTTCGGCTCTGCGCTACTTAATTTGGATTGGCTGATCTTTTTTTTTTTTTTTTTTTTTAGAGGACAAGAGCAGCGAGGTCTATCGCGATAGCTTAATTTCTCTATCGAGTAAAAGTTATATCGCGATACATATCGTTATCGTTCTATCGCCCAGCTCTAACCCCCACCCCCTTGTACGTATGTAAAAAGGGAAAGGCAGAGACTGTACAAAGTTGCTGAAATATACTGACCCCAAACACACAACTCCAGAGCCCAGAATGATCTCAAGACTAGAGCACAACCATAAAAAGGAGATAAATCAGAGATTAAATGCACGTGCCATGAGCCAGTTGATTAATGTATAGACAACACTGATGAGCCATTTCACCACAGCACTATAGTCATTTTGGGCCTTCAGAAGAAAAAAACCCAGAGTAACAAAATCTGCATATCTAGTCGTGTAAAACATGCTGACATGTTTTGTACGCTGTCGAGTCGGTTTTCAACCTTACCTTTTTTTTCCTTTAAGAAAAACAAACAAACAACCCAAAACTCTGGCAGTTCACCACTTACTTTTGTTCCATTGGACCTGGATGAGTTGAATTGCAATAACTGGAAAAATTGGGGTGTTCTAAAACTTTTGACTGGTAGTCTAAGTTTGCATAGCTAACTTCAGGATGGTGCTGCATGAGATAACCCATTGTTTTATTTAATGATATAAAGAAATATTTTGGTATCCCAAATATTGATACTGAATGCTATATCTATATTTGTTGCACAAAATGAAACAGGCAGAATATTGCAATACTATGTTGTAGCAATTTTCTTTCCTTCACCCCTAATTTTCTTTCATAGTTAAGAATATTTACTTTTTCCTCCTTTATGCAACAAACACAACATTGGCATATTCTTCACAATGCCACCGGACTTATATGACAAAGAGTGTGTTACTCACTTGTGACCTTCTGCAGGAAATCCAGACAAGGCCGGCTAATCCCTGACATGCTGACAGACACAGCCACCGGAGTCTGGCCCTCGTAATTCCTAGTATTGGTATCTGCTCCATACGTGTAGAGCATCTGGGCACACAACACATCATCCCTTAGAGCTGACAAATGTAAGGGAGTTTGGCCATCTTCAAGGCGTCCAAGATTAGTGTCCGCTCCCCTCTGCAGGAACATGCGGCAGTATGAGTGATTGCCTTTGATGACAGCATAGCGTAGCAGGAAGCCATTTTGAATGTCAATGTTGGCGCTGTGGTCAAGGAGGATCCGTACACAGCTGGAGCGCTCGCGGATTATGGCAAGCTGTAGTGGCGTGGTTCCTTTGTCGCTCAGAGGGTCTACCTCGGCCTTGAACTCGAGCAGCAGCCGCACGAATGAGTCTCGACCATAGTGGGCGGCCACATGCAGCGGCGTCCAGCCATCGTTACTTTTTGCATTTATAATGTCACTTCGAAACTCTGACTCCAGCATCAGTCGGGCAATGCGTGCTCTGCCATGCATTGCTGCATAGTGAAGTGCGGTGAAGCCACCAATAAAGTCCTTCACTGTGGGGTCAGCTGTACAGACGAGTGAAAAGAAAAGAAGAGTTAAATGCAGCAGACGCTTCATATTATAGGATTTATGATAAGCCAAGATAGTACAGTCCAAGAATAATCTGCTAGAAAGAATTTTTCATCAATTCGTATTTACAGTGCATTCCTGCTAGACTGTTATACTTTAAGTGGACATGAAACACGAAGCCCTGCTCTCAGAAACTGACAGATTTAACAGTCTGTGAAGTTGCATTTAGAAAATAAGTGTTCAAAGTTAAAGTTTTGAGAACATGTTGGTTGGGTTGCAGCTAATAGGTTTACATTAGTGTATGTTAGCTAACTAGTAGCTGAACCAATACCTCACTGCCCAAAAAGCTGATTCTGTCATAGCGCGGTGGTGGCAATGGGAAATCTTTCAAAGATAATGGCAGACGGCTTAAGTGGAGTGGCCAAACAGTCAACTTTTAAAAGTAGCAACAGGGTTTTACCTGACTTGTTCATGTAGCAATTTAAATGTTTAGTTATGGGCAAACTGAAGCTTCGTAAAACACTGAAACATTTGAAGCATTTGTGCTGGAATTGTACTGGTTTTGAAACAATATCAAACCCATCTCCACAGTGACCCCTGCTGGCCAATTTGGATATTGCCACATCTTAAAGAATATTCAGTCAAACAGTAATGCAGACAAGCCCAGCACAATTCCTAACAAGGTTTTATTTTTAATTAATTTAAAAATATATAATTAAATGAAGAAAATAAATGTTCTCCTTCTTTATAAAAAGGTAAGATTTATTTTCACAGGCTAATTCTGACCAATTATAACAGTCCATTTTATGCACGAGTTAGGACAGAGTGAGGAACCAACTTTGAGGGAGAACTGGTGAGATTGTTCTCTCCACCCCGATGATACACCAGGACAAATTCAGCAGTGTAAGAGGAAAAAGAGCTCGCTGGTGCCAGATGAGAGATGGAGAGGAGAACAGGAGAGAATATAAAGACTGTTCTCCCTTTGTAAAGGACCGCTAGAAAGGTTTAACCCTTTAACCCTAACAGGTTAGGGCTACACTGGTGGCAACGTTTCTTTAAACTACTGCAACTCTTGAATGATGTGGGCAATCTGAAAAATGGCAACCGCTCTTGAAAGCAGCAACTCTGCGCTTTTCAGTGATATTAAGAGTCATTACATTAATCCGAAGCACTGCATCACAGCAGCCCCAGGAATGCAAAGGTTGAGAGAGTGAGCGTGTGCAGTGGAGTTGTGCAGAAAACTGATGTTTTGTTGGACACTTTTCTAATTATTTTATTAGTGTGGTGGGTTTCTTTTTCAGCATTTTCTGCCATGTTTTTTCCAATTGTTTTATTTTTTTTAAGTTCTATACATGACCTATCACCCATTACAAAATATACACTGCCCAGCCAACTTCTAACATTTGAAAAAGCATGGTTGCTAGGCAACCCAACCCATTTAACAGCCTTGCACTTCTGGCCTTTAAAGCACCTGGCCTATGCAGACCAGGTAGTTTTTTGAAGGATGCGGGGCCTGAATTGGGGCACACCTTGACTCTGTGTATGAGACTCACTGCTGCTATGTTATCTTAAATCAGTCATCTGATTTGGATGCGCTAGCCCGTCATCTCCAGAGTGTATGTCCATGGTTTTTCTGATTCTAACAGAAGATGCACGATAATAATCATATTCTGGGGTGACAAAATGGTATCTGGATGAATCTTAAGTCATATGAATAATATCCCAAACGTGGATTCTGTTCATCTGGACATGGGTGAGTGAAAAAACTTTTCTCCCATTGAGAACGATAAGTCCAGATGAAAAGAATGAACTTTTGGGATTTGGGACACTTAAACATTTTTTAAGTGTTTAAGGGATATTTATCTGAATGCTATAGAAGTGACTTCTTTTCAAATTTCACCTAACATAGCTGAATAAATGCCCACTTTTTAGTAACACACTGCCCTGTAGCATTAACAGCAAAAACATTTTCAGGTCGTGGGGTTGGGGGTCTGACCTCCATGCTCCAGGAAAACTCGAACACATCTCTCTTTTCCCTTGGCTGCTGAGAAGTGAAGCAGTGTCCAGCCATTGGCATCGCGGATCTTTGGCGAGTATCCTTGCTCCAGCATTCTCCTAACAGTGTATACATCCCCTGCTGCCACTGCAGCCTGGATCTGCAGCTCTTCATGAAGCTCAGGGTTCCTTCTGCAGTGGTGGTTCAACATCCTGTCACATTTCGGAATGGTAATTTTCATCTGTACCTAAGCTCTGTTTAAAATAAATAAATAAAAATCAGTAAATATATTCAGATTCAGATGGTACATTAAGCATGACTGAAATTAAGTTCAGACTTATGGCCGTGGCTTTTAATCTGAAAAGACAACACTAAAATTGAAAAAGTAGTAACGCATTACTTGGTGATAGAAGTGGCCTAAGAGCCTGTGTCAGTTTAAGTGTTGTTTTCAATAAATTGCATGATCAAAAATTTTTTGGCCTCACTCCCATTTCTTCTTGTTGCATGCTGAAGCTCAACTTGGAACCCTGTTAATATCCAACCATGAAAAATATGATTTTTTGCCATTTTTCAAGTATGTGAATGAAGTCTGCCTACCGCCTCAGTGCAACAAAGATCTACAGTTTAAGCAGTTCATTGTAGATCTGACAGACTTGAATGGACATAAATGGCTGACAAAACACACAAATCAAGCACACACAGGTGGTGCATTACAAAAATATCTTAAAAAAAAAATCAAAATCAAAATGTTAAGTCATTTTAAGCATAAGAATAGGAATCAAAATAATACTGAAATGGTGTACTAATGATGTTCAGGAGTTTTTAAGGGTTAACATTAATAATGAGCTTCCTCAAATATTGAGGAAGCTCATTATTTGATCGAGGGCTGAGTGATGAGGAAAATCTAATATCTATATCTCATGATATGTTTAAATAACCTCCAGAATCAAATGTTTTTTTCAACCACATGAGTGCGGAAGGAAAAACTCTTTTTTTTAACAGGAAGAACCCTCCGGCAGAACCAGGCTCTGGGAGGGGCGGGGCATCTGCCGTAACCAGTTAGGGAGATAGAAGGAAGACAGGATAAAAGACATGCTGTGGAAGAGATTAATAACAAGTATGACTCAAAGCAGAGAGGTCTATTAACACATGAAGAAGAAATACTCAAAGCATCATGGGATTTGTTAAGTGTGGATAGTTAAATGCAATTGCAAGTTGTGCCTTGTTCTCAGAAGGACAGCAAGTGGACAGGGATAGGTGAGATGAGGCAATGCGAGGAAGAGAGGCAAAGAGTGATTCAGAGGCAGAGCCTGGTTTATTTCCCACAGCTTGTGTAATCTGTTGCCTTATGGTTCCAAGCGCTGTCACCAATCTTTGCATTTCATTATTATCTCACAACACTTGTTTAATCAGCTACCAGCTCTCCTACAGACTTTTTAAATGTCTACAGTGTCAGATCAACACAGCCCTGCCCTCCAGTACTATCAGGAGCAGCAGCAACACCTCAACAGCAACATTGTACCCATCGGGTAAGAAATAGGCTACCTTTGCTTTGCCTTGTCCCCGCCTGATAACAGTGATATAAAATGATGTGAATCCATATTAGATTTTTGAAGAATGCGGGTTGTTGTTATTCACCCTGGTCCCATGTGCCCCTTTTTAACTTTCAGTACCCGCCCCTTCAAAAATCTCTACACCGCTCTGCCTGAAAAAACAATGCCGTGGTCCCAGAGTCTGCCGAAAAGCGACAGACTGAGCAGGAGGTGTATTCTTGCCTCGACACCCACCTTTGTTGTAGTGTTTGTGTTGCATATTAATTACGTCACAGGACACTTGGACGCGTTGCTATGACAATGAAAACGCACATTAGGTGGTACTCTATTATAATGGAAAACCAGTTAATCCAATTCGAGTCGTGGCGAATCAAACCGAGCAGGTACTAATGGGAAAGGAGCCCATCTGATCTTGAGCTGCTTTCCTGCTTCTCAATACTTTCCCCATCGCTCTGGTTAAAGTTAATCTTTGTTTTATGAGTCTAAAAATACAGCTTCTTTCCAGCTGATTCTGACAAAGTTGAATGTGATCTTCTTGTTCTTGAGTGTAACGAGTAGTCTGCAAATTGTTCTGTATTAACACTGATGATGTGTATTGATACAGTGTACATTGATGGGGTCTCCAAATTCTAGATGTCGACACTGATACACATGTAGAGTGTTTTTGATGAAATATTGTGAACAATGTTGTTACAGAAATAACTCTGGCACATTAGTTGTCTGCTATGGTCTTTCGGTGTTGGCTGGCTAGTGCACTAATTGTTTTTAAGGATGTACCACTGCCACTGGCCACTGCCAAATTTCTTACCATCTCTCTCTGGTTTATTGTGGGTTTTTTTCCCAGCCTAGTGATGGTGTACCTTGTGTGCACTGCCATCTGTCTGAGACTTCTATTCAAAAATGCAAAACTACAAATACAAAATCAGCTCTATGAGTCAACTTCAGGCATCTGCTTCATTTGTGATGACATAGCAAGGAAACAAGCCCCATCTGGCAATGAAACTGCTTTGGAGTCAACTGTCCAGTTAATTTTGAGCAGCTAAAAACAGGGGACTACAAGAAAAGGGTGTAAGCCGCTTCTTACTGTACTGCAGCTAGGATAGGCTCCAGCCCCTCCATCACCCTAAATTTCTCAGCAGTTAATCCAAGCTCTGAAAAAACACTGACTTAAAGCTCAAAGTCTGCACTTGAACACATTTGACTTAAAATCCAGAGTGGTGGAGTATAGATGGTAAACGGACTGGTTCTTATATAGCGCTTTTCTACTCTGAGCACTCAGAATGCTTTACAAAACTTGCCTCATTCACACAAGCATACTGTACTGTTTCTATCTAAGCTTCCTATCTAACATTTACACGCATTCACTGACGGATGCATCTTGCCCAAGGATATTTGGCATGCAGACTGGAGAGACGAGGATTGAACTACCAACCTTCTGATTAGCAGGTGCTCTACCACCTGAGCTACACTTCAAAAGACCATCAAATCATTTTTTTATTAAATTATTAACAGTTTGAAAATTTGGTTGATCTCAGAATTGCACAAATAATGTATAAAGCAGCAAACAAATCTTTACTCCACGACATTCAGAACTTAGGAGTAAAAACTATAATTTATTAATTTTCTTTAATTCAGTCTTACTGAATAAAAAGCAGAAAACTTGGAATTTAAATAATATAGAGGCAAAACTATAAAAGTTGTATATATTCCCCCCAAAAATGTAATTATAAATGAAGTTATCTGAAAATGTACATGTTTGACGTATGTTCAGGCACAACAGTGGAATTTCAGAGACAGTCACTTTTTTGCTTCAGCTAACAAAGGCTTAACCATTACTTGATGAAGAGGTCTAGCAAGTTTTTTTGGTTTCCTTGTTGGGAGAAATTATGTTGATGTTAAAAGAAAAGAAACAAAAGCTAATGTTTTAGATATTAAAATGTACCTTTGGACCAGCTGAAGAGATAGGCTTCTTTTAGTCATATCAGAGCTGCTTTGCAGATGTACTGGTGCACACTGTGAAGAACTGAGAATTTGTTTCCCTGTGGCACACAAACACAGTCATCAAAAAGAGATTAGAGGCAATGAAGAGTATTGTGAACGCTAACGGACAGAGTCAATTGATTATGGATACACCCCATTTATTGCTGAAAACCACAACAGCCAAACAATAGTAACAACCAGAGAGTTAAATACAAAAAAATAATGATATGCATATACACTACCCAAAGGTAAACTTACTAATTACACTATTTTTTAGCCAACCTGGGAAAACTTTGCAAATGAATGAAAACGTAACTATCTGTCATTACCTTAAAAGTTTGGCTCGTTAGTTTAACTCGTTTGTGATAAACAATAGACATCACCGTGGCTTTATTTGCTAACATGACCAATAATACAAAGCACGCACAAGTATACAGATATAACTTACAAAAGCTCGGCGGTGAAGATAGCTCGTTTCCACCACGCCAGAAAGTGTAACGACAGTAGATCCTTTTAGAATAACCCATGGTCTACGGCTGTACGTTCTTAGAAGGTTAGCTGAAGCTAGTTAGCCAGAAAGCTAACAAACTCATTCGCTCGTTTTTAATTTTATTTGGCTTCATTTGACTTTTTACACTATTATAATTGGGTAGAAATAAACCCCCAAACACAGCGCGTGTGGATATTAAAAGGAATTCTACGCCTTTATTGACAAAACAGCAGCTCTATAAAACAAAGACTTACTTGTCAGACGCTGAACCGACGTGTAACTGAGCCAATCAGCTTTCAGGTATACGGAACGATTGAAGTTGTCAAAGCTGCATTATTCCGTTACTTTCAGCACAAATACAATACCAAACAAAGAAGCTAGTGTCAAACTTTTATCCATATCTTTGTAGGTAATGACAAGAATAATCTAACTGTTCAACACTAAGACTTAATCAAAGAGTGTCTGCGAAGAGCTTCACCAGCGTGACTCCATCAGCAAAAACAATAACACTTCCGTCTGCAGACTTTCACAATATAAGTATAATTTCCACAGCCCCAAGCACGTCAAGAACTACCATTTGCAAAGCAGACGTATGAAACTGTATTTTAGGATGCAATTAATTTAAAATAAATCAGAAAGGCAAGGAAACGTGCATATATGATGATGCTATTCTGATTAATCAATTTGCAGATTAATGATCATAAAACTAACCTCACGGCCCATTGTTAGTCAGTGGAGCTAGTTTCCATCATTATTCTGCAGTCAGCTGAGATTAAAGGAGTGGTTTGGATGAAGAAACCTTTCTCCTACAGAAAACGTCCAGTTTGACAGAATGAACTTTCTGAAACTAGACACATTATATAAATCCATGGTCATTGTAGTAAATAAAGTGCTAGTATTATATTCACTATTATATATTCCCCACAATGTAAAAACAACAACAACAATATAAAGTTGTGTTTTCATTTATTAGACTTTTTTGTTTTATTTTGGTAATGCTTCACGTATTTTGTAGGGGTACTTCCGTGTATATCACGTGGGAGATCCACGCGGAAGTAGCCGCGCAATGGAGGGCAATATGAGTTGTAAAGACGAAGACCTGTCCGTAATGACAGGGCTTTTTAACTGTTTGACAGAAGCGTACAGATGCTTTCTTGCGGGATCGTATCCCCCCCAAAATGCTGCCGATGTAGCGGGCGTAATATATTCCGGCTTTTGTGGACCTGTCCACGGGAAAGGCAGAGAAGGTTCCCCCTCAGAGTACTGCGGTGAAAACAGTGCGGAGCTGACTTGCATGTGCATGTCTTTCCTCGGGAGGGTTTCTTCCAATCTGACGTCTCAGGGGCTGCATCCAGACGTTAGGTTTTATTATGCGGAGGTCCTAAAAGTATTGCTTGAAGACATGGATCTCATCACGCACCTTGTAAGTGCTACCACTGCTCAGGGAGTAAAGACGTAAAGTTATCTTAATAATTGATTTAATTACCTTTTCCATAGGTAAAGCGGTTCCAAGCCGAGGACCACATTATCTCACATCTGGCTGCAAAGACGGCATCAAACTGTGTTTTTTACCTTATCTGCAAATCTGTAAGTAGTCATTCTTTGGGGATTCGTCTTCAGCAACGACTTTTTGTTTCCGTCTCTGAGATGACCGAAGCGCTTTAGCCTACCTACTGTAAATCACATACTATTAAAAAATATGCAACACTGTTCATTGTGTGTAATGTTAAGAATGGTGAAAAAAGCAACGTTTAAAATAACGTAAAAGGGTAAAACTTCAGCAACTGGTAGGTTGTACGACTAAGACCAGACTGGCCAGCCTGTGCACCACCTGGACTTACAAGAAAGCCTATGACTCAAAACCTCACACATGGAACCTGGAATTCATAGAGCTACACAAGATGAGCAGAACCCTAATAGTAAAAAAAGAGAGGAAAGGTAGTTACTGCAATCCTCTAAGGTCTATCAGAAGGCAACACACTGAAAATAGCCAATTGGGAACCATGAAAAGGCTACTAGGAAAGCTACAACAACCCAGCGAGTAAGGCAGGTCCTGAGAAGTAGGTGAATGGGAAGAACAAGATCAAGGCAATCGCCACCTACACCCAAAGGAGGAGATCAAATCCACTGACATCAAGACAATGAAGCTTCTTACTTATGCATCTAGCCCTCTGAGACTGTACGCTGAGCGGAGGGAAGGAGACCAAGTGTCAGAAGCACTATCCAGGGTGAAACAACAAAGAGCCACATCATTTATTGTGGCCATCAGGAAGATGTATAGTACCATATCACCCCAATGGAGCACTTTGCTCTCAGATTGCAGCTTTACTTGTGGTTACTGGGATATTTAAAAGTAGTATGGGAGGCAGAACCTTCAGGTATCAGGCACCTTGTCTGTGGACCCAGCTTCCAGCTTGGATTTGGGAGACAGAGACCCTTTCTACTTTTAAGATTAGGCTGAGGACTTTCCTTTTTCTGAAAGCTTACAGCTATGGCTGAATCGTGTGACCTTGAATCCACACTTAGTAGGACTTAGCAGTAGACTTAGGCTGCTGGGGTCCTCTCAAGATGCACTGAGCGTTTCTCCTTCTCTTACCCTTTTTTACTCACCATCAACGGCTCTTTCACAGCATGTCTTTTATCTGGTCCCCCGCCCGACTGGTCATGGCAGATGGCTGCTGCGACCTGGTTCTGACGGGTTGGACAACAGTGGAAAGGAACTCCCTTTTAAAATGAAGGTTGAAAGGGAGTTTTTCCTCCCCACTGTTGCCAAGTCCTTACTCATAGGAGGTTATCTGTTAGGGTTTCTCTGTAAAATTTTAGTGTCTTTACCTTTCAGTATTGAGCACCTTGAAGTGACTGTTGTTGTGATTTGACAGTTTAAAATTGAATTTGAGTGCTTGTATGCTTACATTTCTTAGGGACTTATCAGTCCTGCCTGGCAGAGGAAATGTGAACAAGCATTTCAGAACCCGTGGCCTGGTGCTGAATTAGATGCCTGTTTGTGGTCACTGACTGAAGTCTCCAAAAAACTTCTTAAAGGAGCTCATCGAGGTAAACGGTGTTAGTAATTTTCATTTTCAAGGAGTCCAAAATCCGCGATATCTAAGCTATAACGGTAACAAAAATACAGAAAATTGTAGAAACTGCAGCCAGAACATTTTAAGATTTTGAACATTTAAATGAATTTACTGAAAGATGAGTTTATTGAAATCATTTGTTCTGTAGCTAGGCTAACTCCTTGGGGTAAGATATGGGCAGATACAGGATGCTTACAGGATGACGGTTGATTTTGTCTACTCTCACATTTTGAATGCCTTTTTTTTCCTTCCATTAGAGCTCATGACACTTCTGGTAGGTTTTGACCTCACTCTAAGTGTTCTATGTTCAAAACTGCTCCCTGAAGAGAAGAAACACATGTCACAGCATTCAGTGGATTTTACCAGAAGCTCACACTGGGGAACATCATTATGTCTACTGCTAGACCTGCTTGAGGTGCTGACTTCTTCTAGTTTGGTATGTGGAGCTGGTGTCCGTTTGAAGAGTCAGAGAGTAACCCACCTTCACTCGTTGGCCCTCCTAAACATCTGCTGCTCCTCAGAGTATTATGTTAAAAAGAGAGTGCTGCTTCTTCTAAAGAGAGCAATCCTCCAGAAGGCTGGAGAGGACTGGATTTCAGGCGATGTGGCGTCAGGGAGGACGTGTGGAAACTGGAGCTCTGATATGAGCATTCTAGCTCGGACTGTGTTAAAAGCAGCTTCTGACAATTGGTTACTGAGTATTCAAATGCAGTCTGGCGCTTTCTTTGGAGGAACCAGGCACATTCTGGGAGATCAGATTCAGAACTGGGATTGCATGATGCTGAGAGCTGTCAGCCTCATTATTCTCAAGTCCATAGAGCTTTGCATCCAAACAGCTGCAGGATCAGGTGAGAATTAAAAAGAAATACCAGCGTGGTTGATGATCTATCATTTTTGCATGAGTACAATTAAAGATGTTGCTGAACTTTAAACCAATTAAATTAAAAACAAATCATTTGAAGCTCTTCTTTTTGATAACTGTGATAGTACTGGGTTTTTTTCCTCACTCAGAAATCTCAGCAGCACATTCAGTGGAAAAACAATGAAAGAGATGCTGAATGTTTTCACTCAGTGTCTGTTCTCTCCCCTGACCAGTCAAATCAAAGACAAAAATCTGGATGACAAATGCTTTGAAAATGACATTTGATATTTCAAATGTTGTGTAGCCAATGATTGTAAATCTAAAGTTATTAAGAAATGATCAGTCAAAAGAGGGTTTTCAGGAAAAACTGTTAAATGTTCAGTTTCTATGCCATATGTCAGAACAAGCTCCAGAGTGTGATTGAAGTGGTGGGTGGGTCCTTTTACATTTGGAGAGAAGCCGTTCAATAACAGATTAAATGCAGAGTTGAAGCTGCATCTATGTTTAAGTCACCCACAGTAATTATTTTATCTGAACTGAGTGTGATAAATTGGAGAGAAGCTCGAAGTGCCAGGTGGACAATAGATATCAATAAATAAAATGTTTTTTGTCCTGGCTCTCTGCCATCACCCACACCTGGTTATGCGGCAGATGGCTGCTCCTCCCTGGCGGAGTTTCTGACGGTGGTTTCGTCCTTTATGTCCTCCAATGGGCAGGGATAGTTCAGTAGGTAGAGTAGTGGCCCCATGATCGGAAGGTCGGGGGTTTGACTCCACTGAATGGCTACCTTGAGGTACCCCTGAGCAAGGTACCGTCCCTACACACTGCTCCCCGGGCGCTGCACTGGTGGCTGCCCACTGCTTCACTGGGTGAATGGGTTAAATGCAGAGGAACTATTTCCCCATGGGGGACTAACACACACACTTTACTTTTACTTTTTTTTTTTTTTTGAAAAGAGTTTCGTTTTTCCATTCCACTGTCGCCAAATGTTTACTCAAAGGAGGTTGTTTGATTGCTGCAGTTTTCTTTGTATTATTGTCAGGTCTTTACCTTTAATTGCTTTCTCTAAACAGGCCAGGTTTCACCCAGGAAGTTTACCAATGATCTTAAAAGCCTTTATATGCTTTCTGCTGTGGCTTAGGCGTATGATTATCTTCTCAACACAGAAGTGAAGACTGCAACAGAGGTTCATGCATACATGCAGAGTCTGTGGGGCTTCCTGAGACAGTACAGGTTCAAACAGAGAGAGGTCACTCATCTCTGCTGCTGGATCAGCATGCTGTTTGGAGAACAGGATGATGACATGATGGAGGCAGCTAAAGCTCTGCTCTACATATTTCTTCATTACAGGTAAAACAGATACCAGATTTGGGTATGATATAAAAACTATAATGGTAAAGAGGTCCTGATGTTAGTTTACCATCTTTAAAGATGCTTAAAGATAACTTCTACACATGTAAAAGTATTCAGATTTAAAATATACATGTGTGTGTTTCTGTCACTGTTTACTGGTACTTCACTGTCTTTCACTTTACCAGAAGAGAAAAATTCAAATAAGCTGTTAGTGTTTACGTGATATGTTCTAATTAGATTTTTCTCTCATTTTTAGACTGATGTCTGGGATGGATGAATTTGCAGTGCTGGAGACGGCCTGTGCATCTGGCTTTAACCCTCACTGTCACTTTGTGCTTCTGCTTCAGAGCATGTCCTTTGACTATAGCGTCCTCCTAGACTTTCTGATCTCAGCTGAAACCTGCTTCCTGGAGTACTTTGTGCAGTACTTGAAATGCCTCCGAGATGATTGGCAGGGCTTCGCTGCAGCATGTGGACGTATCACTATGTCAGACTGTTGTCTTTCACAGCAGAAGAAGTTAGGCGCCGATAGGTCAACATTGAAATGTAAAGGAGAGCCAGATAAAGTAGAATCTGGTTCCTGTGTTATTCCACCAGCTGGAAGGCTAGGTATGGCTTCAGAGCTTCGCCTTGTAGAGTATGATACTTCTGATGAGTCTGATTCTGAGAATACAGTGGAATCTGTCTGTGCCTTGAATGGGAAACAATATAAGTCAACAGCTTTACTGAGTCCAAGACCGGAAGGATTATTACAGCCAGTGTTGCAGAGTGAAGAAACATCACATGCAAACATGGCATCTCTGTCATGGCAGCTTACAGGTGAAATATCAGTCAGAGCAGTCCATTGTTTGTCACAGCTTAGAGAGGTGGTAACGAGGCTGCACACAAAGAAGCTCTTCCCATATAACCCTTCTTCACTCTTAAAGCTCCTAGCGCAAGTAGAGAGCTGTTACCAGAAATCACACCTGTCACAATGCAGTAAATCATGAGGATGACTAGTTTCAGTGATTTTGTTTGTTTGCTGATGTGGTGTGCACTTCCTGTTCCTGCTATTGCACATATAAAAATATTATTGTCGATATTATAAATATTCATCCCTTTATCTGTATTTACATTTTGTCTTTCACTAATTGTTTTATATTTCTAAGTACAAATGCTATTTCATTGACAGTGTTACATTTAGTGCTCAGTCTTTAAAAAATATTACCATGTCTTACTATTATCATGTCATTAAGTAAAAAACGTCAAATTGTTTCTGAAGCTATACCATAGGGTGGCAGCAGAGGACTTTTAAGTGCATTCTCAGAAGGCAATTTTAATGTCACACCGGGGTGGATGTACCTCAGGAAGTTTTGGTGTTTTGGTCCCTGGCTGATCCAGTTTGTTTGAAAGATACCAAAGTTGTTCACAGATGCATTCATCAGGGTCTAAATGTTGGATACAGAATGATCTGACTCAGGAATTGTCCCAGCTTTTATAAAGCGCTTTGAGTGCACAGATAGAATAGAAAAGTGCCTTAAAGTCCATTTACCATTCACTCCCAGAGTTGCTATTTTTTTTTATTGTAAAGCAGTTTTGCTCTACGATTATGGCTGTCAAAGAGAACCACATTTTGTGCCATTCCGAGTTTTAATTTTTGTGCTATTTTGGCTGCGCTGAACGAATAAAACCCCATATTTGCTAGTAGATATAATTTATGGGCAGGGATAGCTCAGTAGGTAAAGTGGTCGCCCCATGATCGGAAGGTCGGCGGTTCGAATCCACTTAACGGCTACCCTGAGGTACCCCTGAGCAAGGTACCGTCCCTACACACTGCTCCCCGGGCGCCTGCTTAGTGGGCTGCCCACTGCTTCACTGAGTGAATGGGTCAAATGCAGAGAAAAACAAGTAATTTCCCCATGGGGATCAATAAAGTATCCATTATTATTATTATTATTATTTTTTATTTTCATTTTAGAATTGTTGTCTCATTTCCTTAAATAAGCTTAAAATGGCTAAGCCATGCAAAAGCCGCCACAATTTATCTTCTGGCCAAAACATGTCCCATTTAAACAAGTGAAAATACAATTTTTGATCCCAAATCAACTAACGAATTCCTTTATGCTAAGATTTCATTTTTGACAACTTGCCTTTAATGTTTTGTTTTTATATTTGTCCAACCAAATGGGTGTCTTGCTAATGAAATGATGAACGTGTGCTGCTAATGATGTTAGATAATTTTGTGTGTGCAAGTCTTTTTTTCTTAGAAGGCCACACTGTGTGTCATAAACTAATTCAATAATAATTACTGATAGGTGACCTTTCAGAGCTTCAAAGCTATCTCAGCAGCAAGAACCAAAGCTCAGGTAATTTATGCAACTGCACTGCAGCCATGGTTAGAAGTATGAGCAGTAGTGCAGGAGCACTCTGCAAGAAGATGGCAAGACTTTACAGCACAGAGGAGCCTCTGGAAAAGACACATCATACTCCTCCGGGCTGACATGGAGGAGGCCTCGGACGTAGAAACAGACCAGCTGGAGTCCAACTCTGACTCATCTGAAGGTGAGAGTGAAAATATGGTTGAAGCAGTCACAGGATGGACTCCTTATCCCCATATTTTGGTCTTCAACAAAGACTGCAATGCTCTACTACCTCCCAGTAGCCAAAGGTTTGCACTGCTGCTGATGGATGAAATCCTGCAGCAAATTGTGGCCATGCTAAAACCTTGAATGGGAAACACTTAGTGGCTTATGTAGGGATGCTCATTTTTGATGGTGTTTACAGGGCAAAACTCTTCTTCTTTAACGGGTAAAATCCAAAAACTATAATATTTGATATTTATATTTCAGGCTGAAGTAGTTTTAAAAGACCATTGGTCATTGGTTTTCAAGATGGCAGCTTGTAGTGAGGTTGTACTAGGGAGTGCTAGTACACCAGTTCACTGATTCTACACCCATAACTTTAGAAATGCAATTTATTACAAGTTACTACAGTGACATTATCTGTAAGCCTGGGATGAGCATTAGCAGCTACTTTTTGGGACAGTCTGACAACATGCCGTGAAGGAAAGTTGTAATACCCAACACTGTGGGGGACCCCAACTTGCAGAGCGGAGAGGCAAATGAGGGAACTAGCATGGGAACTGATGCAGAGTTGAATATTGGAACACATCCATTAGTTTGTGAGGTGATTCAGGAAGTAACTGTGAAGTCATTGAAGATAAACTCGAGCCGGGTCTCCCTGCTATTTACAAGCACAAGGGAAACAACTGGAGGACCATGAGACGCACATAAAGGAAGCGGACGCCCGGATCTTGGCTATGGCGGATGTCACGACGGTGACCCTGGGCAAACTCCAATCATTGAAGAAGTGGGTAGAGGAACTAGCACAGCATGCTGATGACTTGGAAAATACAGGGTGGGCCATTTATATGGATACACTGTAATAACATGGGAATGGTTGGTGATATTAACGTCCTGTTTGTGGCACATTAGTATATGTGAGGGGGCAAACTCCTCAAGATGGGTAGTGACCATGGTGGCCATTTAGAAGTCGGCCATCTTGGATACAACTTCAATAGGAAGAGGGTCATGTGACACATCAAACTTATTGGTAATGTCACAAGAAAAACAATGGTGTGCTTGGTTTCAACGTAACTTTATTCTTTCATGAGTTATTTACAAGTTTCTGACCACTTATAAGATGTGTTCAATGTGCTGCCCATTGTGTTGGATTGTCAATGCAACCCTCTTCTCCCACTCTTCACACACTGATAGCAACACCGCAGGAGAAATGCCAGCACAGGCATCCAGTATGTGTAGTTTCAGGTGCTGCACATCTCGTATCTTCACACCATAGACAATTGCCTTCAGATGACCCCAAAGATAAAAGTCTAAGGGGTCAGATCGGGAGACTTTGGGGGCCATTCAACTGGCCCACGATGACCAATCCACTTTCCAGGAAACTGTTCATCTACATCATCATGTAGCAATTTCAAATATCCAGTGGCCTTGAGGTTTCCATTGATGAAGAATGGACCCACTATCGTTGTACCCCATATACCACACCAAACCATCACTTTTGTTGTTCCAACAGTCTTGGAGGGATCCATCCAATGAGGGTTAGTGTCAGACCAATAGCGGTGGTTTTGTTTGTTAACTTCACCATTCACATAAAAGTTTGCCTCATCACGGAACAAAATCTTCTGCGTGACCTGAGGGTCCTTTTCCAATTTTTGTTTTGCCCATTCTGCAAATTCTGTGGCCGATCTGGGTCATCCTCGCTGAGATGCTGCAGTAGCTGGAGTTTGTAAGGGTGCCATTTGTGAGTAGCTAATATCCGCCCAAGGGATGTTCCACTAATGCCACTCGCCAGTGACATGCGGCGAGTCGCTGTGGGCTCATGCTGAATGAAGCTAGGACAGCCACTGATGTTTCTTCATTAGTGAGTTTTCTTGCTTCCAGATTTTGACAAATCCAACACTGGTAGAATGTGGACCTTGTCATGATGATCATGGAAGTGGTGGCGTCCATTGCTGCTTTTGTCAGATTCTTGCCGCTTGCCAACAGGGTACGATTTCATAAGCACGTGCAACTGTTTTATGTTTTACAGAAGGCTGCAAGGCTTGTCATGGTGTCTGCTGTTCTTTTCATATTGAGAAACATTTTAAATGAGTCTGAAGGAGACTTTGTGTTTTTTTAACACGAGTTGAGCAAGTTTAAATATTCCATGTACAGACAGTCCCTGCGGCAGGCAATCTGAATTACACATGCCTTTGCAAACACTGGTGAAGAAGGACTGCCTGAAATGCACCAAGTTCTCAACCAAGTAGTAATCTTATGACCTGTTCAGCCTTTTGTCCTGGCCCATCGAGCAGGGGAGATCCCTGCAGTTTGAGGCAGCGCTAAGTTATTCTTTTAGTGTTTCTCTTATTGTTCAATCAAAAACTTTGCAAAAGTATAGAAATATGTTTGCACTTATTTCCCATTTGCAAGTTTAAAACCCCAAGATTTTTTTTCTTTGCCTTGTACTATCGTACAGGGCAGTAAAGAAACTCGCCAGGACAAATTCTTCATCGCCCTGTACAATACAAATCGTGCCTGTAGCACACCCATTGAGTACCACTGTGTTGCTCAAATATCCGTTCTGTTCTCTCAGATATGCATTGAGATGGCCGAACCTGGTGGATTAACACAGGTGATGGAGAGCAAAGTCACCAAGGACTATTTATCTGCTTGGTAAGTGTGTCCCACGATCAGAAGTGAGAAAAAGAGGAAATTTATTTTACACTGTGTTTCTTCATTTTCTTTAAAGTGTCTTCATGTCTGTCTGACCTTGTGCTTCTTTCTCTCCTCTTCATAGCAGTAAAGCTGGACGTATTGAGTCGTGAGTATCTTTCTTTTTCAGCTTTAGTGGCAGAGTCAAATATACCATACGCTCCTCAAGGTCGTCTGTAGTAAACAGTTCCCAAAGATGCAAAAAGAGCAGCATGTGATTTAGATATAAGCAACTCTAGATTAGGAATTTGAAATGGAATTTCTTATTTCACATGAACATTTTGTGACAACAAACCTCTTTTCGTGGTAACCTACTGGCATCTTTGCTTTTAAATTCAGTTTGAAGAGCCTGAAACAGCGTCTGCAAGACTCTGGTGACAACCTCAAAATGAAAACCAAGAAGACCGCAGAATCGACTGATGCAGTGACCAAAGGTGACTGCCAGGCGGAGAGCCAGAGGACCGAGGAGGAAGCAGGGACCCAGCCCGATGCTGCAGCCGCCCCTGCTGGACAGCAGCCAGAGCCCAAGTGTCCTGATGACGAGACACAGGAGGGAGAGGAGAATGATGGATGGAGCATGGCCGACATTAAAGGTACAAAGAGCTGCTTTAAATCAGCAAAATACACCGCTCTGACAGCCAAAACACAGTAAAGTGAATATAAAAAGACAAGTTGTGATATTTTGTGGCTCTGATCTCATATTTGTGCTCCTCACTGTGCTACAGACATTCAGCCTGGTGGTAGTAATATATTTTATATATGTGGTGTTTAAGAAATGCTCCGTTGGTGCGATGACTATGTCCCACACCATCACCAGCCTGAGATTTTGATACAAGGCAGGATGGATCCAAGATTTCTGACCCTACCATCCTAATGTCACAGCAGAAACTGAGATTCAACAGACCAGGCAGCGTTTTTATTTTACAGCGTTGCTGAGCCTGTGTGAATTGTACCCTCAGTTTTGCGTTCTTAGCTTAGAGAAGTCGAACCCAGTGTGGTCTTCTGCTGCTGTAGCTCATCTGCTTCAGTGTTGGATGTGCTGTGCGTTCAGAGATGCTCTTGTGCATTGTAATAAGTGGTTGTTTGGCTTGCTCTGGCCTTCCGGTCAGCGTGAAGCAGTTATTTCATTCTCCTCTAAACTCAAAAATGCATTTCCTCCAGGGAACTGCCACTCACTGGATATTTTCTGTTTCAGACGGTTTTATGTAAACCCTAGAGATGCTTCTGTGGGAAAATCCCAGCACATCAGCAGTTTTTGAAATGCTAAGCTCAGCAAACATGCCACATTTAAGTGACTTAAATTATTTTTCTTCTTCATTCTGATGCTCAGTTTGAATTTCAGCAGGTCACCTGACCATGTCTACATACCTAAATCACTAAGTTGCTGCCATGTGATTGGCTGATTAGAGAGTCGCATTAATGAGCAGTCAAACAGGTGTACCTAATAAAGTGGCCGATGAACGTTTCAGCTTTTCAAGTAAATCGAAATCATTTGTTCAATTATTATTGAGTTATAATTGAATGTTTAACTATTTTATAAACCCAGTGGCTCCTGTAGCAGATTCGTTGATGATTAACCTGTCGCTCTTTTCATTTTCAGTTATGGCTAAACGCAGGAGGGAGCTTGTCGGAGCTGAGGCAAAGCCATCTCGCTCTCAGTCTCCGTGTGTTGTAGCAGATTTCAGACTGCCTCAGTTCAACCCTAACAGCCCCATCGGTCAGACACACACACTCTAAATTCAAATGTGTTGTTAATACTTGTCTAATCTTCCTGTTTCTGCTTCTCTGCAGGTCAGGAGTTTGTGGTCCCTAAATCAGGATTTTTCTGTAACATCTGCTCTGTTTTCTGCCTGAATGAGAAGACCGCCAAGGAACTCCACTGCTGCAGCCAGAAACACTACGACAACCTGCAGGTACGCACGCACATACATATACACGATTCAGCACACAAAATCACACTGTTGGCCTAACGATATTTGTTTTCTCACTTTTCCCTTTTTTTAGAAATATTATGAGGAACGTCGACAAAGAGCTACAAAAGCTTTGTCTCAGACGTCTCCAGGCTCCGTTTCTGACTGATGGACCTGATCTACTGTATTTTTAACACATAACTGTGCAGAGTGTATATAGGATTAGGAGTAGCAACCGATTGAACAAAACCAATGCTTTTTGGCTTTTTCCATGTGTGAGTTTGCTCTTTGCGACGGAGCGACGGACAACTGGCAATGAGATGGCCAGTATCATGGCAATAAAAGCATTCTCGGACAGTCATGGGGACCTGATCAGGGCGCGTTTGACGCTTAGGAGAAACCCTCAAACTCCTCGCAGGTTTCGACAACGGGGCACATTCACGGCGCACAGCTGAAAACGCAACGCGATGGGTCAACACAAACTCATCTGCGAGAACAGCAGCTTTAGACAACGAATCCACCTTTTGCTCATTGATATATACAACAACATTCTCTGGAAGACACGTTTTGAATTCCTCCAGCAGGACCAATTCTCTTAGCTGAGCAAAGTCCTTCACTTTACTTGCAGCTAACCACTTATCAAACAAGAGAGTCTTCTCCCTGGCAAACTCTACATGTGTTTGGTTGGCAGATTTTTCACACGACCGAAACCTCTGGCGATATGCCTCTGGAACTAGCTCATAAGCCCTTAAAATAGTGGATTTCACAATTTCATAATCCAGGCTGTCATCAATAGACAAGCTCGCACACACTTCCTGTGCTTTCCCCACCAATTTACACTGCAGCAACTCCACACATCCTTGGGCCATTTCAAAGTGGTTGCGATGCGTTCAAAGGCATTAAAGTAAGAGTCAACCTCACTTTCTCTGAAAGGTGGCACTAAAGCAATTTGCCTGCTTGCATCAAATTGGTCAGAGGAGAGTGAATCAGAAGATTTACTCACAACTTTACTCACTGGGGTAGAGGTAACATTGCGCTGCCGGGAAGGATCCAGCTCCATAGCCCTTATGCGGAGATGCATAAGCTCAACTTCTTTGGACTTAGTCGCAAGCTCCACCTCTTTCAGGCGAAGGGCGAGCCCAAGATCCTCCGTAACCAATCCTGTTGATTGTCCGGCTGGGCTAACGTTTGGGATCTGAATGGCAGCAGGAGCCTCCGCCCCTGGCGACACCCGTCCACTGGGAGCTTTTGGGATGGTTGCAGCAGCTTCTGCTCCCGCATCCACCATCAAACCTCCAGTCGCCTCAACCGGCCGAGGTTTCGACTCCGCAAATACCCCCTTATCCACCAGCTGAGCTGTCAGGCACTGCTTAATTTCTGCCTTTTTAGCATGTAAAGGCACACTAACATTAAACAAATCTGCCACCAACAACAAATCCGCCTTTGTGCATCGATCCAACTTATCCACGGTGGGTTGTAGTGCAAAATCATCCACATCAAAAGTCATTGTGACTAGATCACCCCCAACACTACAAGAAAACTGCCAACCAAAAACTGCAGACAACCCACAAAATACAATGAGCAAAAAGAATGGCAAAAAAAAAAAAAAAAAAAGGACGAGCCCCCACTTTATGTTACGCCCCAGTCTAGGGGTACAGGAACGCAACACAAGTTTGAAAGAATTGCCCCGCCCTGGTCCCCAAAACCATACACAGAGGGAAACCAATTTCTTAGTGAATCGTGATTTATTTTTCTGCACTGCAAAAATGAAGCTCCGGGGTGAACAAAGGCCAAAATAACAAACAAAACAAGCTAAGTCAGGAGGAGGTGTTATCTACAACCCTATGTGAAATCAAATATCAAACAAAAGACAAGCGCTACACCTAACTCCCTAACTGAAATAAACAGGAGAAAACAGTGCAAGGAAAAACAATAAGGCAGCTCACCCCTTCTGTTGCAGTGCTATTTACAAGGCTATTTACAATGAAAACTAATGTACACACTATATACAAAACTCCAAAAAAGTCGCACAAAAGTCTCAGGTTTTGGAGGCCAGGGTCAGGTCTGCTGCTGCTGTCAGTGGCTGCCCCGGGACAACTGCTGGTGAGGGATTTGAATGAAGATCACATGGCCAGGGGACCAATCAGCAGCCGTCAGCTCATCCACTCCGGGACCTGCAAAGACTTAAAGGCACAGACAACAACAGCCACCAAAACAGATTATGGACAGGGCCATAACATGTTTGCGGTTTTGTGATTTGTTTCTTATTTCCTGTTTTACTTTGAAAGTTCATGTCTTATGTCAGTGTGTTCAGTTTTACCTCTCCCCTGTCTCGTTAGCCTGATTTCTCCCAGCTGTGTCTCCCTCCCTCCCGCCCATTCCCTAATTACTCCCCTATGTATTTAAGCCCTGTGTTTTCCTGGGCTCCCTGTCGCGTCGTTCCTTCAACCTGCTGTGTGTTTGTAATGTCCAGTCCTCCAGCACCTCGCTTTAGAGTCTTGTTTTCCTTTTGTAAGTTTTATTTTGTCAATCATTCTTCCAGCAATAAAGCTGCGTTTTCAGTTTCTTCCCGTCTCCAAGACTCCTGCATTTTTGCGTCCACCGCTTCTGCTCGCCTGCCACACAGCCAACCATGACAATAGCAGAATCTAGTATAACATGGAAACACCTACCTGAAACACAGACTTTATGTATTTTAAGTACTTGAGTAAATGTTCCCACTACTATCTGCACTCACTTCTGAAGATATTTAGACTAGTGAGAGAACTCTGAGCTCCTCCGCTTCATGTGAGATTCACTTTCCATTGTTTCCTTTCTTTCTTTTTTTAAATCCCTTTCCATTGCATTAATGTCTTGAAATACCAGGAAACCAAGCATCTGCCTCTGGAGACTTTTGACTCAAAAGGCAATAAAAACCAAAACAAATGTAAAAAAATGAATACAGGAAAAATTCCATTTTCACAAATGTCAAAACATTTTTTAATTAAAATTAATCTTTTTTTCCTATTAAAAAGTTGTAAAAATGAGTGCAAGGCCATGATGCCATAGCAGAGGATGTGCTTCCTGAGGGAGCTGAAGAAATTCAACCTGCCAACACGGGCGATGATGCAATTCTACACTGCAATCATCGAGTCCATCCTCAACTCCATCACCGTGTGGTACGCTGGAGCCACTATCAGGGACAGTGGTGGTCCTAGCCTGTTTGGCGCCACAGGCGAACACTCTCTCTGCCCAATGGTGTGCTTGGTTATCCTTTCATGAGTTGTTTACAAGTTTCTCTTTGTTCACAGCCATTGATATGTCAAAGAGGTTAACATGTTAGGAGCGGATCGAAATTGTGTTGATATCTGGTGAACGCAGTAACCGGGTCATTGCAGCAGATTTCAATGCAAGACACCCTACGAGACCACCCATCTCCCATGCTACAGTCAGCAAACTGCTTGCTAAGTTTCGTGAAACTGGTTCTACGGTGGCTGGGAAGTGCAAATCGCAACAAATTAAAAAACCGCAACAAATTAAAAAAAAACCACAACAAATTACAAAAAGCCCACAACAAATTAAAAATCCTTGATGGAAAGGGATTGTCTAAAATACCGGAAGTGACACAACGATTAGCCTAATAGGGCTTTGGAGCGTGATGTCACGGGGTGTGGGGGTTTTGTATTTTGTTGTGGGGGTTTTGTATTTTGTTGTGGGGGTTTTGTAATTTGTTGTGGGCTTTTTGTAATTTGTTGTGGGCTTTTTGTAATTTGTTGTGGGGGTTTTGTATTTTGTTGTGGGCTTTGTGTAATTTGTTGTGGGCTTTTTGTATTTTGTTGTGGGGGTTTTGTATTTTGTTGTGGGCTTTTTGTATTTTGTTGTGGGCTTTTTGTATTTTGTTGTGGGGGTTTTGTATTTTGTTGTGGGCTTTTTGTAATTTGTTGTGGGGGTTTTGTATTTTGTTGTGGGCTTTTTGTAATTTGTTGTGGGGGTTTTGTATTTTGTTGTGGGCTTTTTGTATTTTGTTGTGGGCTTTTTGTATTTTGTTGTGGGCTTTTTGTAATTTGTTGTGGGGGTTTTGTATTTTGTTGTGGGCTTTTTGTATTTTGTTGTGGGCTTTTTGTATTTTGTTGTGGGCTTTTTGTAATTTGTTGTGGGCTTTTGTAATTTGTTGTGGGCTTTTTGTATTTTGTTGTGGGCTTTTTGTATTTTGTTGTGGGGGTTTTGTATTTTGTTGTGGGCTTTTTGTATTTTGTTGTGGGCTTTTGTATTTTGTTGGGGGCTTTTGTATTTTGTTGTGGGCTTTGTGTAATTTGTTGTGGGGTTTTGTATTTGTTGTGGGCTTTTGTATTTTGTTGTGGGCTTTTTGTATTTTGTTGTGGGGGTTTTGTATTTTGTTGTGGCTTTTTGTATTTTGTTGTGGGCTTTTTGTATTTTGTTGTGGGCTTTGTGTATTTGTTGTGGGCTTTTTGTATTTTGTTGTGGGGTTTTGTATTTGTTGTGGGCTTTTGTATTTTGTTGGGGGCTTTTTGTATTTTGTTGTGGGGGTTTTGTATTTTGTTGTGGGCGTTTTGTAATTTGTTGTGGGCTTTTTGTAATTTGTTGTGGGGGTTTTTTATTTTGTTGTGGGCTTTTTGTAATTTGTTGTGGGCTTTTTGTATTTTGTTGTGGGCTTTTTGTATTTTGTTGTGCGCTTTGTGTAATTTGTTGTGGGCTTTTTGTATTTTGTTGTGGGGGTTTTGTAATTTGTTGGGGGCTTTTTGTAATTTGTTGTGGGTTTTGTATTTTGTTGTGGGTTTTGTATTTTGTTGTGGGGTTTTGTATTTTGTTGTGGCTTTTGTATTTTGTTGTGGGGTTTTGTATTTTTTTTTGTATTTTGTTGTGGCTTTTTGTATTTGTTGTGGGGTTTTGTATTTTGTTGTGGGCTTTTTGTATTTTGTTGTGGGGTTTTTTTTTTTGTGGCTTTTGTAATTTGTTGTGGGGTTTTGTATTTTGTTGTGGGCTTTTTGTATTTTGTTGTGGGCTTTTTGTAATTTGTTGTGGGGGTTTTGTATTTTGTTGTGGGCTTTTTGTATTTTGTTGTGGGCTTTTTGTAATTTGTTGTGGGGTTTTGTATTTTGTTGTGGCTTTTTTTTTTTTGGCTTTTTGTAATTTGTTGTGGCTTTTTGTAATTTGTTGTGGGGGTTTTGTATTTTGTTGTGGGGGTTTTGTATTTTGTTGTGGGCTTTTTGTATTTTGTTGTGGGCTTTTTGTATTTTGTTGTGGGCTTTTTGTAATTTGTTGTGGGGGTTTTGTATTTTGTTGTGGGCTTTTTGTATTTTGTTGTGGGCTTTTTGTAATTTGTTGTGGGGGTTTTGTATTTTGTTGTGGGCTTTTTGTATTTTGTTGTGGGGGTTTTGTATTTTGTTGTGGGGGTTTTGTATTTTGTTGTGGGCTTTTTGTAATTTGTTGTGGGCTTTTTGTAATTTGTTGTGGGGGTTTTGTATTTTGTTGTGGGCTTTTTGTAATTTGTTGTGGGCTTTTTGTAATTTGTTGTGGGCTTTTTGTATTTTGTTGTGGGCTTTTTGTAATTTGTTGTGGGGGTTTTGTATTTTGTTGTGGGCTTTTTGTAATTTGTTGTGGGCTTTTTGTATTTTGTTGTGGGGGTTTTGTATTTTGTTGTGGGGGTTTTGTATTTTGTTGTGGGGGTTTTGTATTTTGTTGTGGGCTTTTTGTATTTTGTTGTGGGGGTTTTGTATTTTGTTGTGGGCTTTTTGTAATTTGTTGTGGGCTTTTTGTATTTTGTTGTGGGCTTTGTGTAATTTGTTGTGGGCTTTTTGTATTTTGTTGTGGGCTTTTTGTATTTTGTTGTGGGGTTTTTGTATTTTGTTGTGGGGGTTTTGTATTTTGTTGTGGGGGTTTTGTATTTTGTTGTGGGCTTTGTGTAATTTGTTGTGGGGGTTTTGTATTTTGTTGTGGGCATTTTGTATTTTGTTGTGGGGGTTTTGTATTTTGTTGTGGGCTTTGTGTAATTTGTTGTGGGCTTTTTGTATTTTGTTGTGGGGGTTTTGTATTTTGTTGTGGGGGGTTTGTATTTTGTTGTGGGCTTTGTGTAATTTGTTGTGGGGGTTTTGTATTTTGTTGTGGGCTTTTTGTAATTTGTTGGGGGCTTTTTGTATTTTGTTGTGGGCTTTGTGTAATTTGTTGTGGGCTTTTTGTAATTTGTTGTAGGCTTTTTGTAATTTGTTGGGGGCTTTTTGTAATTTGTTGTAGGCTTTTTGTAATTTGTTGTGGGGGTTTTGTATTTTGTTGTGGGGGTTTTGTATTTTGTTGTGGGCTTTTTGTAATTTGTTGTGGGCTTTTTGTAATTTGTTGTGGGCTTTTTGTAATTTGTTGTAGGCTTTTTGTATTTGTTGTGGGCTTTTTGTATTTTGTTGGGGGCTTTTTGTATTTTGTTGTGGGGGTTTTGTATTTTGTTGTGGGCTTTTTGTAATTTGTTGTGGGCTTTTTGTATTTTGTTGTGGGGTTTTGTATTTTGTTGTGGGCTTTGTGTAATTTGTTGTGGGGGTTTTGTATTTTGTTGTGGGGGTTTTGTATTTTGTTGTGGGGGTTTTGTATTTTGTTGTGGGCTTTTTGTAATATTGTAAGCAATACTAAATTAAAATTCAATGACATCAAAATCCTTCTAGTCCTGATGTCGAGCGCTCTTTTTCACTAATGTGTTGTTGTTGTTGTTGTTTATAGATTGTAAGAGCAGGATGGCTAAAAGAAAGGCCAGTCCTGAAAAACGACCCCATAAAAAGGAGGGTCACTGAGCAGGCTGGTCCTTCCACCAGCTCAGATGCTCATGTGGTCAGGGGAGTCAAGCGAAAGGTCCAACAAGATGAAGCGGGGACAACCAATACAGCAAAAAAGCGTAAACTTCTTGACCATGTGAGCGGTGACAAGGGGCAGGCATCTTCCTGGTTGGACACTGGTAAAGGTAGGCTAATTAGTTGAGTGAGGGGTAGATTAAGTGTACATCTGGTTGCTAGTTTGAAGGTATTAGTGTTTGGGAGATATTTGTGTCTATTATCTAATAAGCTGACGTGCTTTTGGTGTTTTCCACATCTGCAGACTGCAGCATAGAGATTTCAGAGAGCTGCAGTAAAAACAAAAAGGCTGGCAAAAGGAAAGCTGCGGGAGACACCAGGGACCCACCTAAGAAAAACAACGTGGACCAGGACAAAACCAAAACTGTTGCCAAAAAGTCAGTGGCTGAACAGAAACGTAAGTAGCAAGCAGCTTAGCTTTTGTATTCAGGTGAAGAGCAAAATGAACATTTAGGGTACAGCAGAGAGTAATTTGTGTGACAGCTGTAGTAAAACCCAATTTGTGTTTGTCTGTTTAGGAGACTTCCAAGCGAGATACGTGGAGGAGCACCGGCTTGGAGAAGGAGGATGCGGAGCAGTGTTTGCTGGCTACCGCATAAAGGATCATTTACCAGTAAGTGTTCAGATGGTGGTAGTGAGACAGGCAGTAATGCAGATAAGGGATAATATCGTAAGCTGAGACGTGTGCTGTTTTACACCTTTAATTATGTCATACTGAGGAAATGCTCATCAATGCCCTGTGTCTTTTAGGTGGCCATCAAACACATCCCAAAGGGGAAAGTGTACTGCAAAGTGAAGGTAAATGTGCAAGACTTGCATTGTTTTTACATTAGTGGATTGCATGCAGCGTTCACCTGTGGAACGTCTGTGCTTCATCATCCACTTTGTTAAAATATTTCAGGATGACAACGGGAAGAATCTGTCGGTGGAAGTTGCCATCATGCTGAAGCTTGCAGCTGAAGCAGATGGATCAGTGGAAACATCAGCCCCAGTGTCTCTGTTGGAGTGGTTTGACTTTGGCAGAGAGCTGATCCTGGTGATGGAGAGACCTGTCCCCGCTGTGGACCTGGATAAATACATAGAAGAAAATGGAGGATTTTTGCCAGAGGACAAGGCCAAGGCAAGTTGACTTGCCTTAGAAGAGTCTTAGACTGTACATCATTCAATCAAAGCACAGAGTATTAGAGAAACATTAACCCATTGATTGATTATTGTCTTTTTCATCGTTTCCAGGTAGGGCTGGGCTATATCATACCGTTCACGGTAATACCGGTGTAATTTTGGGCAACGATAGGAAAATGAAATATGGCGATAGAATATGGGTAAAACGCGCATGTGCAGTGCCTTTGTTTACATATGCACATGGCGGTGACGCAGAAAGAGAAGAGCAAAAGTGGATCGTTGAATGAAACGGATGAACCAGAACTGGTTTGTAAAATGCTGCAGCTTCAGTGGTGTGGAACTGGTTTAGCTTTCGTCCGTCAGATACACAACAAAGCACAATTTTTGGTAGAGCATGCTAGCAGGCCGTCGTTATTACCGTGTTGTATGGAAAATACGGCACACTTAAAATCAATCCTTTGAATTTTCTGAAAGTCGACAGCGCCCCTTATAATCCCGTGTGCCTTATGTATGAACTCTGGTTGTGTTTACTGACCTCGAAACTATTTTATGTACACGGCGACTTTGCTAAGCTACAAAGCCCCACCGCTCGATGGATTGTCGGAGCATTACGGCTATCGTAGGCAGGCGCCTCGCGGAGTGATACGTACTGCACCTCAACATGATATTACCGTATTGTGTGTGTATAACCTCTTTTTAAGTTTTGTGGATATTATACATGGTTATGCTGAGGATATGTTGGCCAGTTTCCACTGGAAATGCCTTTTGGTTAAACTGTCAGCGAGGAATTTGCACTGTTACATTTTTATATAACTTTAATGGACATAAAAAAACAGCTGCTTGTTTAAGTGAAAATACATTGATGGGTTTTTTGCACTAATAAAGTTGTGGAGTTGTAAAGTATTTTGTCTAGTGTCAGTTATATCGTCAGTTATATCGTTATCGCAACTTTTCAAATGTATATCGTGATGAATATTTTTGGTCATATCGCCCTGCTCTATTTCCAGGTCATTCTGAAGCAGCTGGTTGATGCTGCGAAGCACCTGGAGGATAAACACATCTTTCACCGGGACATCAAGAGTGAGAACATTCTAATTGAGACCGGCTCAGATGTACCGCGTGTTCGTATCATCGACTTTGGACTCAGCTGCTTTTTTAAGGAGCGGTCGCAGTACCGCCTCTTCTATGGTAACATATTCTGCTCTTGCTCTTCACAGATGTCACAGTTTTCGCCTTTTGTTTTAGAAGAAATTGCAATTGTGTCTGTTTATTAGGTACAGAAATTTACTCCCCTCCCGAGTGGTACGGGCGCAGTTGCTACAGGTGTGGACCCACCACGGTATGGCAAATGGGAGTGGTTCTGTACGAAGCGCTTCATGCGGGGGACTTTGACACCACGAGCTTCCTCAAAAAGCGCCTGAAATTCAAAAGACACCTGTCCAAAAGTAAGAAAACGTCACACTTCAAGACTGACTGATGGCTTGGACCACTGGAACTATCATCTTCATGTTTTTTCTCTTTCCTTTCTTTCCAGACTGCCGGGATTTCTTGGACGCGTGTTTAACCAAAGTCCCGGAGACGCGGCCGACGCTGGAGGACCTACAGCATCACACTTGGCTGAGATAAGCCTATCACACACACACACAAACACACACAATTCAGACGTTATCATTTATGTGTGATGTATGAATTACCTTTCTTTTTTTCAGGAAATAATTTTTTTAATTGGCCCACTTTAAATTTCAGTGTTTTGGAATTCCTGTAACCCCCCAGCCATCCCAGGAAAGGGGATCTCTCTTTGAATGGGCTTTCCCGAGGTTTCTTCCCGTCAATCTGGCCCCCCCAGGGGAGTTTTTCCTCGTCTTCATAGAGAGCTTGGGCTGGCTCAGGAGCTCCATCAAAACTGTCTTTATTTAATTACTCAAATGTAATCATATACTTTAAAGTAATCAAATAAAAAACAGTAAAAATCTAAGACTTGAAGTAAACTTCCATTAAAATAAAACTTGTTTAATTCATCTTTGCTGAGGATACTGTGTTATTACTATTTCAAGGATTATGTCAGAACCGGTGCCATACTGGTACCCATCCCTACCCATCACTAGGGAACAGAACAAACCAGACATCAATTACAACAAAAATGACACTGACCCAGCCAGCATGACTCGTCTGCCTTCAGAAATGTTTAGCAATATTACAAACTGGGTGATATGCCTTAAAGTAGCTTGTCATGTGTTCAGCATTGTCACAGGCTACATTTTAATTAAAACCACAATCTAGTAATGTTCTGTCTTTAACCTTCCTAATTTGTTTTTTGTCCTAACCTAACACTAAACTGCCAGTGAAAACAAAAGTTACATAAATAAAGAAAATTACGGTCTCACACAGGAGTCAAACCCTAGTTTCTAAATGATGTCAGTAATAGGAAATTCTATCTTTAAAAAAAACCAAATTGTTACACCACTTTGTTAGCCTCGCTGGCGTCAAGAATCATTAGTATGATGCTAAAGCTTTAGTAGAAGTTGCACATCAGTTGGTGTCCCCGCCCCTTATCCCCCTTAAAATCCTAACTTGAAGATGCAGAATTTGCTTCCTATTAATATGTCATTCATGAAGGTAATACCCAAGCAAATAGCAATTTTATTATGATCTGTGCTGCAGTTGCCTGTTAAAAAAAAGAAGATAATCTTCTCACAAACTGGTGTTTGATTTTGAAACAGGAAAAAAAGTGGGGAAACAACTGAAAAGACTAACATTTGAATAAAACCTGAAAGCAAGTAAATACTTTCTATGCTGCCTTAGGGTAAACTTTGGTAATATTGATAAAGAACAACACTGGCTGATGATGAAATACAGTCAGCTGGCATGGTGACACTGCCAGTATTAACCTGCAGGGCTGGACTGGGACAGAAAATCGAGCATTTTGACTAGAGACCGGCCCCCCAGGTATTAAAGCCATAAAGCCTTTGAATGGAAACAGATGCTGTTGTGACAGTGATGTACAGTCTTGTTGGTATATGTATGATTTCTATACATTTTACGTCAGATAAAAACTTTGGTTGTAAGATTCAGATAATTATTTAATAACAGCGAGACATTTTAAATGAGAATAAGAAAGTATTTCTTTGTGCCCCCCTCTCCCTGTTAATGCCCTACCTGCCCCCCTGGCAACACTTTGCTAGACCCGCCCCTGCACAGTTACCAGCTGTCAGCTACATAAAAAAAGGATCCTGGTGTTATTTGTCTCTCAGAAACAGTTCATAACTTCAACTCATTCATGTCACCTAAAAGGTAAACCTGTTTCTCCATCACCTGTTCAGCTCTGATGGTTCAGTAAGGACATCTCCTGGTTTCATCTTCATGTTTCCCTCTCACCACGTATCCAAACCGACATCATGACCAGCAGCTTTACAGCTGTGGCTCCAGCAAACATCAGCTGATACTAGAAATTAATATTAAATAAATTCTAACAACAGCTGATCAAACGTGCTGCTGTTGTTTAGCGCGACATCCGCTGGCAAAGTGGGCGATAAACAAACAAGAGAGAAAAGCTGATCAGCTGATCACTGATCAGTTTCATGATTGAAGTAGCAACAGGAGAGAGAGGGGAGAGGATGAGAGAAGAAGAGGCAGCTGTGCAGCGTAAACACAGAATAACTCCAGCTTTGTGTCTTTTTTCATTATAGCGAAAGCCCGGGACAAACAGCTCAATACGAAACGTGTAATATTTTCTCTGAATGAGGGACCATTCCATTTTTTTAAGGAGCCGTTGGAAACTCTACTAACCTTATGAATAAAATAAAGTTCACTATCAGTAACATCATAGCACCCACCCAGCTGTACTGTATAAAAACTCCGTCCTGCTAGCTAGCACGCAGTACGCGTTATTGTAACTGACTGTAAAAAGTCAGCACAACGAAAATAAACTCCACCTAAACTTGGTTTATATCTGACCCAGGGCCTGTTCTTCGTACCGCGCTAAGTGAGTTAGCTGGATGAGATTGTTGACGATTTCGCGTGATCCTGGATCATTCGGTTCCCCGAAGCCCATCCGGGACTTGCTGTCATAGCAACAGAGCCGTAAGCGTAAACCTGCTGGGGAGCAGGCTTACTTTATGTAAACAGGATTAGATCGCGGCCACGCAGGTATGCCCGTGTCATTCATACGAAAGCAACAGCGATATTCCACCACTGTTTCACCATAAATAAATAACATCAATGTAACTAAAGACAATGCAGCACTTGATCCTTTTATTGATGTCACACAGATACATACAGGTCATTTCCTAAAAAAGGGAAATGTACTATTAACATTCTATTACATGTATGTGATTATTACAGATGTAATTCATATTTCAGAGTAGCAATTGTAAATTACTTCGTGTAATCAAGATGAGAGACCACGGCTATAAAAGCGAAGGTGGATTTGGGAAGTCTGTCGCAGCCATGTCCTGTCCGTTTACGCGAGCAGCCCATTGTGGAAGGTGCAAGATTGATAAGGAGAGTCCTCAGAATTCAGCGTATATTGCGGGACAGACAGGATCCTTTAGCTCAGCGCGACAGTGTGCTCATAGAGAGATATCGATTTTCCCGTGAGGATATTATTCACTTAACCAACTTGTTGACGAGGGGGTGCAGGACCACCACCTGTCTTTTGTTGCTCTGCCCTTTTCTTGGTTGCTGTTACAAACAAACAGATTATTTCAGGGTCTCTTTCCAAGAGACTAAAAGCAATATAAGTGATAAATATTACCATTCTGTAGAATATTCTTATATTTCACTTTTACCTGTTCCCATGTTCTAGTGGGTCCTGTCGTGGCTCTAATGTGAAAGAGGATAAAATATAACATATTATAATATAATGTAATATAATATTGGATAATATAGTGTAATATAATAAATCTACCCTACCGCCTACTGGTGTTGGCCAGAGGGGCCGATGGCGCGATATGGCAGCCTGGCTTCTGTCAGTCTGCCCCAGGGCAGCTGTGGCTACAACTGTAGCTGCCTCCACCAGTGTGTGAATGTGAGAGTGAAAGAATAGTGGCATTGTAAAGTGCTTTGGGTGCCTTGAAAAGCGCTATATCAATCCACTCCATTATTATTATTATTATTAAATTACTTACGAGTTTAATTTGTCAGCAACTTCCTGCCAGCCCTCGCTCCTTGCTTTTGCAGCCTTTGCAGTGTTCCCTTGTGTTCTGATTAAACTCTGAAACTCCTGAAATCCCTCACTCAAGAGTTCTTGCTCTGCTGCCGAAAAATACCGAGCCAAGCGCGCTCCGTCGACATTTTCGCCGACCAATCAGAGGGTTGCCGATCAATGTTTCTACTATCGATGCGTAGCCCCTTTTACGACACCCAGTGATCTCACATTACTTCATCCAGCTGTACTGATCGTCAACAGCAGGTGTGTTCGGGGAACCGGATTAGCGCGCTCACGGTTAGCGCGATGGTTTGGTCTTGGATGTTTCATTTGATCTTGGATGTAGTAAGCGACGTACGAAGCACAGGGCCCCAGATAGACTGCAGCTCATAACTTCTTACCTGAAGTTCAGTTCACCTGACACTCGGACTGGTGGCTGCCTCGGGGCTCTCCTCCTGCCTCCCCTTCCCTCATCCACCTGCTGGCCTCTGTGGAAGCCCCACCATAGCCACCACCAAACAACTGAGTTATTTTTACACATCGACCTGCATCTGGCCAATCCACCACCTCTCACTGTTCATGCCATTACAAAAAAAATAAAAAATAAGTCACTGGGGATATGCCCGGTATGCCCGATGGCCAGTCCAGCTATGTTAACCTGCAACCAAATCTGCAGCTCCATACAGCAATGTTACGACTTAGATTATATCTTATAACTCATAACTCTTATGTTAGCTCCCCTCAGTAGCAAACTGTCTGATATATTCGAGGGCTGCAATAATTCTTTAAGTGTTATTTTTTCCTTGGTATTCTAATTTCACCGAAGTTTACTAAACTCAACAAACTTAATATTACTTACCGGGACTTTTATTCTGTCCTCATTTTCTTTCACCGAAAATAGTTTCCTGCAGTTCTTTCTGCTTGGCTCTCCTACCTTTGCTAACGTGATAGCGCAGAAGCCGATGCTGCATTCACTTACACTCGGATATCTGAGCTTCACCGTGAAACCATAATCGTACATTTGATATTTGATTGAATTTTATTGTTTTGCCTTTGGGGTGGCACCTGGGGTGGCCAGTCTGGTTGGGGGGGTGGCCTGTGCCCCCCCAGGCCACCCCGCCTGGGGACACGCCACTGTCTGCTTTGACCCATGGTCAAAAAGTTTTTGGCAACCGTGACTTCCTCTGACTGAAGTTCAATATGGTAATGCAGTGCCAGGGCTGACAACCCAGTTTGTTTTGCAGACTCTGTATAGCAGCTTTAATATAGGGAGAACACAACTTCCAGATTGTACGAGTAAAATTTGTTGTTCTTTTTCTTTGCCAGTTTCATTCATTCATTTCATTCATTTATTTGTTCATTTCCAGGCACAACAAATACCTATATTGAACATAAAATGCACAAAACAAAAAACAAAAATTGCCTGAAAAAGGAGTGGGACGAAGAAAACTTATTAAATCCCACCCCTATACTCACTCAT